GGGTTCTTCAAAGGCATAAAGGAAAATGAAATAATGGCATTTACAGGTAAATGGATAGCAATGAGAATATCATGCTACGTGAAATAAGCCAAACACAAAAACTCAAAACTTGAATGTTTACTCTAATGCAGAAACTAGAGTAAAACAAAGGAAACGGGGATGGCAGGATAGGATATCATACAGATAAAGGAAAGAGCAGTAATGGAGAAGATTGAGAGGCAGAGTGCAGAGATGGGTAAGGGGAGGCAATGCAGATGATTGTTTTGTTGTTGTTGTTGTTGTAGATGAACACAATATATTTATATATATTTTTAACCTGGTGCTTAGGATTGATCAAAGGGACTCAGGCATTTGAGGCAAGTGTTCTCAATTAAGCCACAACCCCAGCCCCAGAATGAATTCTTAAAAAGTTGTTATGTGAACATATAAATATACCACAGGGGACGCCACCTTTATGCATAGGTAGAAAGAAGCAATCAAATATAAATTAATAGATGAGCAAAAAGAAGTCTAATAGAGTAGATGAAAAAGATTTGGGAAATGTTAGGGGGAATGGGAGAAAAAAGAGGGAAGAGGGCAATCATGAACTGAAGTCAAATTGCATGTGTGTATGATTTTGTCCCAATGAAACCACTACTGTGTATAACTACACAGTTCTAATCTTAAAAAAGAAATATAGGTAAGAAAATCATTATGAAACCTAAAAAGGCAAAAACAAATTTCTATGGAAGTTTGGCTATAGGTGGGAGACACATACTGGCCTGGAGCCTGTGTTTTCCAATGTCATTTATAGTAGGACAGGTTTTACTATATTTTTATATTTTACATGATCCAACTGACAAACGGGGGAACTGAGACATTAATAGACAAGCTGGGTTTACAGGGCTTAGAGACCTAATCAGGTGCTTGGCTGTTTAGGTGGTCTTCCTTCCACCTCACTAGGCTCCCACTCAGTATCACAGACCTTCCACACTCTCTAAAGTGGCTTTCTTTTCTTCACCTAGGGGGACCTCAGTATGTGGCACAGTGCTCGTGTCCCTAAGGAAACCAGGGCTGTGGAAAAGTGCTGGGTGGCAAGCACATTTATTCCACGTGGTAGACATCCACTTGTGCTTCAATCTCTTGCCTGCCTCTTCAGATAAGCATGTTCTCCAGATTTCTCTGGCTCTATTCAATATCCAGCCTCTATCTTGCCTCCCTAGTTTTAATTTGAGTGTTAACAGAGGTCCCACTCCCCAGCCTTTTGACACAACATTCCACTCTGTGTCTTCTGTTTTGTCTTTTTGGGGCACCAATTGATTCACACTCTCCAGTCACCTCCATGGCCATATCCTCAATCACTTCTGCTCAGGTTTCTCAAAGTCTGAGCCTTGAAATTTTTATGCCAGATATTCTTGGGTCATGTTAATCCTTATTTTCTCTGTTGTGCTGAATACTCGTTTTTCAGATAATGACCTCAAGTGTCAGATGAAAGTGGACTATTTTATGGACTTTTTATTATGGCCTGTAAGTAAGAGATATCTGTAAACTGCTAAGCACAGTACCCAGCTGGCCGGAACTGCTCAGGATACATTAGGTTGCTGCCTTGCCCTTTTGGAGCTGCCATGGTGGATGTCGTGTTAAGTCTCCTCTTCACTTCCTCCTGACAGGGCTTCCCTGTCACTGCTTTCCCATGTACCAGCTGAGATGCAGCAGCATGGCTCAGTCCCTGCTCTTTCTCATGTTCCCAGCCCCAGAGGCCTGAACTGGAACCTGGCTCTGACCCATTCTCCTCTTAGCAGGAAGTCCTTTTATTGATAGTTTACATTTTGATGAACTTTTGTAATACAGAGAATTTGAACTCAAGTTCTTCTGTGTGTGCCAGACCTGCCATACTCTATAGAGTGGTTTCTTTTTCTTCATTCTACCACTGAACTGCACCCTAGCCCTTGATAAATATTTTAACATACATGTTTCACATATATGCATATGTATGTGTATTTTATATATGTATGTGATTTTGTGCATATTTGAGTTTCACTACAAGACATTGTACTAGAAAGCACATAGAAAATTATACATAAAGGTGGTTTATGAAATTGTACCTAACAAGTTTTTACTGGAAGTTACATTTATGTGGAATATCCATCCATCAAACATTTTTTTTTCTAAATAATAGAAACATATAAATCTGTTAACTTTTGCTTTTCTATGTGACATATATAGGCTAATGATATGAGAGGGAAATCCTGGCACCTTAGATCTTGTGTGGTGAAGGCTAGACTGTGCATGGTTTGGGGTGCAGGCTGTTTGTGATGTCCTTGACACTGGTTGTTTTTACTCCCTAGATTCAGGTATTTCCTCTGTATTTGGGGTGTTGGCATAGATTTTCTAATTCTGGTCCTCCACAGCTCTTCTTTCTCTTCTTCTGGCTCAGATACTGTCATTGTCACCAGGACAAATGGTACAAATATGACAACTAAAGGGCTTGGACACAATGAAGGAAAATTATTAATGCAAATATCTGGTGGTCCTCTGTGTGTCATGTGAATTTAGAAAATTTTCTGTGTGCAACATCCTTATTCCTGACAGAGAATGCATCGTCCATGTTTTTTGACTCTTCTATGGCTGCCTTTCTTCTCATTCTTCTTCTTGCCACAGTTGTCCTATTGCTGTCTTTTGGTCATTGCCCTGTACATATTCTTATTCACTTGTCTGTGCCTTTTCTATACAGAAAACTTTCATGTTTATAATATTCTCCTGAATAGCCCACTTGTCAATGAAACCAAAATTTGTCTTCTGGAAAGTTTATCATTATGTAATGATGTAAGAAAGATTATAAAAATAAAGAAACCAAAAGGTGTCTATGGGCTTGAGCCACCCTGCATTTCTGAGGCTGCCTTTCTTGAACCTGGGCTCTTTCATTGTCTCTGCACTGGTGAGAACTGAGGATATTATCATGAATAACAGCAGATCTTTATTATTGTGGTTTTATTTTTCAGAGCTGGATTCAAATGATCCTTCAGGAATGAAGAACTCTATGAAGCTAGAGGGGTGATTCTATGGATGGCTCTTTCGCCAACAAGCATGGCTGCCACATCATAGGCCACATCGATGACTATACTGCTCTCAGAGAGCAGATTGCAGAGGGGAAACAGCTGGTTGAAAAGATACAGTCTCTCCTGAGACCCACATGCAACTTCCTGGGCCTTGAAGCTCAGAGCTTAGAGGTAGTCACACCTACAGCTCCTGCGTTCACCCTTTCTTTGTGCCCTTTGTCCTTAATTCTAGTTTCTTCTCCTCTATTTACTTTTGTGGCCTGCATCTCCCAATGACAGAGAAAGCATCTTCCAATTATTCTAGCCAAGCCCTTGCTTCCTTATCTCCTGATTCATTCTATGTTCTACTCTGTGGTACAGGAAGCAAACTAGATATTCTCCCTCAGAGCCACAGAGATGTCTGTGCAGTGTTGCCACCATCCTCAGTAAAGTATTTGTTAAGAGTTGATGCCCATATGATGTTGAAATCAGCACTGTCTCATGGTTCAATATCTGTTACGTCATGCTTGCCCATGTGGATTAAAATAAGTCAGATGGTCAGGTAGTAGGGATTTGCATCCTTGTATGTGGAAAGAGTAAGAACCTGGCAATGGGAGGGAGGCAATTTTCAAATGCTTCTCAGAGTACATCTCTTTTCAGAGACAACAAGGGTCAATGGCTGTGCTGTCTGAGCCACCAGAGACCCATGGATGTATAGACAGAGCCTTGCATCCAGGTAACCCCCACTTCAGGGAAAGACACAAACCCCTATTTATAAACAAACTAATGGGCCACAGGCCCAATGTGAGAAGTCACCTCTTGTGCCTCAAGTTCACTGGTGGAGAGGGGTCTTCTATTGCATACAAGGAAGGTAAAAGGTCTGTAGAGAACATGACATGGGAATGAGCTTTGACAGCCTTATATAGGGTGTCCAGGTGAGGAGTCATTCCAGGTGAAAGGAGCCACACTTCAGTCCTGGGACCTCAAAGGGATGAGCTAGGGTTTTCCAGGTTCAAGCAGCCCATGCTTTGTGCCTCATCAACAAAGAAAGTTTGAGTCTTGTGCAGGGCTGCAATGTCATGAGCCCTGAGATGTCTCAACTTCAGTGATGTCCATGGCTCCCTCCCACCTTTCCACAGGCACCAGGCAGCAAATGTTTCCATGAGCTAAGAAGCAGTGCTCATGCCCTGCAGCACACCCTAGATGAGTCAGCCTCGCTCCTGACCATGTTCTGGAGAGCAGCTTTACCAAGCTTCCACGGCCCTGGGCTGCCTGGCAAAGTGGTAAGAGGCCAGTGTTGTCTTCTGGTATAAGCCCTGCTCTTCTGCCCCATGAGATTCTATAGTCTCAGTTCCAGGGCTTTCTGAGGGTCACAAGCTACATAGGTTGTTAGAATGTGCTGGATCTTAATGTAGCATCCTGGAGGGAGATCCCTGGTGGATGTTTTCATTGAAACTCTGATTACCTTATTTTGTCCTCTCACCCCAAACCCCAAGATAATAATTCAAAGAAAAGAAAAGGAAATGGAGAAGCACAGACATAGATGCCCTGGTAATTTGTAAATATCTGCTTCTAATAAATCTGAAGTTTGAGCTAAAATTCAGGGGTTTTGAAGCTTCTCTATTCCTCAGAGCTTCTTAGTCAAAAGATCAAAGGAAGACACTGTGATCCTGCAGCTTCTTTCAGTCATGCTCCTAGAATCCCAACACACCTTTTATCTCTGTTCTAGTCTGAGGAAAAGGTAGAGCCCCTAAAGAATTGTCCTGCTTTGGGTGGGCTAGTCTCTGGATCCCCTCACTAGTTTTTATTTCCATATTAATGTAACTGGTATGTTTGGGGGAAAAACTATGCTAATTACAAGGAAGCACTTTACCATCTTCAGGTTCATACAGACATTTTGAAATGTGAGCACTGTCATCAGGTAGCCCTGTGTCCCAGACATAGTATCTCTGAAATTACAAGTCCTGCATGGATGGGAGAAGGGTGAGACAAAACTTCTGCAAGGACTGATTTGGAGGTCTTGTTCACAGTTGGGAGTTACTGTGGGTCTGGATTCAGGGTCTCCTTGATCATAGGACTGTAGGCCTGTGCTGGTCTGATTGGGGGCTTTCAGGTTCTCAACATTCCTACCTGTTGTCTCTCTCTCAACTGTTCTGAACTGAGGGATTGAGAAGTTGTAATGGAGAGAACTCAATCTGGAAGTGCCAAGAAGATTATAGAGTTCTACTTCTGATTGGCAGGAACCACAAAGAACTGGATATGTTTGGTCTCCAAACTGTTGTCTGAGAGCTTGTGCTTCTTCCCCAGGATGAGTCAATGGAGAGGGTGCTCCTGGATCTGCGAGCCCAAGTATCCAAACAGGAGAAGCTCCTTGAGAGCACAGCTGAGCATCTGAAGACTGCCCACCAACAGAAGGAGAACATGGAGCAGTTCATTGTCAGCCAGTGTAGGTGCCCCTGAGCTGTGGAGCAGCAGAGGAAAGGGGTGGTCTTGCAGATGCCCCACTTGTGCTGCAGATAAACAGTGACCACAGAGGCACTGGAATGTTGGAGGGGAGAGTCTGATGCACTGGGCCCAACCCTCCTGTGACATGAGCAATTGTGATTTCAGAGGGAGGGCACAATGGGGTCAGCAGTAGGCCATGATTGAGGGGTGAGAAGAAAATGCTCTAGAAATGCATGCCCAGCAAGTAGGGCCCAGCTAGAAATTTCTTCTTTGTGGGTTTCTTTTTCTTCTTTCAGTGACCAGGACACATGATGTTTTGAGGAAGGCAAGGACTAACTTGGAGTTAAGGAACCTGTTGCACCTTACACGGTCACAGAGCCTGCTTCAAATACATTACCATCTGACATCAGATCAGTAAGTGACCCTGACCTCCTTTGACCTTCCAGGAGATATATGGTCCACTACACAGGTCTTGGCTCCTGGATAGCCTCCTCCTAAGATTTTATCCCTTCACCTTCCTGCCCCCTCAGCTCCCTCCTCTGCCCTTGCTGTCTTCCCTCTCATCATTATCTCTCCTCTTTAGCCCAATTTTCTCTCCTTGATGTCATTTAAGCAAGGAACCAGAGAAATGCAGTTCAGTTGGTCCTTGAGGAAAGAACTTTCAAAGTCTGTCTGTGAATTAGTTGTCTACCAAGAGATCTTGAGGCCATATGTGCCTTCTAGACTTTCCTGAACTACTTTATGAAAAGTCAAATAAGGCATAACCTTATAAATTGACTTTAGTGCACAAAATTAGGTTAAGAACAGCA